CACAATATCTGCTCTTACTCAACAGCCTCCATGTTCCCACCATTGACGTCTGCTAGTTTGCAAGAGGAATCAGTAACATATTGATTCTGCTAGTTTACTTTGCTAACTTTAGAAATGAGAACCTCAAATAGGAAAAAAAGTTCAAGGGCAGAAGACTCTCAAGTCCGTATGTGTGAGATTCTGAAAATCCACTTTACAACCTTGGCAAAGCAGCTGTGACATACTACATTGAATTGTGAAGCTGGTTATCTTTTTCAGCTGTACAGTAACGTCTTCCTAAATTAAAACAAATAGTATGTGACAAACTCTAAACCAGATACTGAATGCCAATGTTGCATCCTGTGCACAGTCAGAATATATGAGCTGTGTGCAAGGGAAATATGTTGGAAAATGAAAAGCTGGTCACACAGGCTCAATGAAGCCACTACTCCAAAAGCAGCAGTGTGGCAGTAGCTTCAGTGTCAGCTTTACCTCTCTTCTGCTTTACTGCAAAGAAAGGTTTGTATGTAAAACTTCATGGGCCGCACCACACTGCTTCCCACCCAGTTGTAACTATGCACAAAAACAGGGAGCATTGCTATCACCAGCAGGTTCAGAGTGATGCAGATTCCCTGTGTAGGTTTCTCGTTTATTGACCCATTCACTAGCATTGTAGAATTGTACTGGTTCTGTCACACTCAGAGCCTTTCATGCTTGCTGATGGTAAGAAAAAGATGGAACTTGCCAAAATTATTTCCATTTTTAGACTAATATTATGATATAATTTAAAATTTTATATCTATGTTCTTGTGCCTAGCAGCACACTTTACACATTCAAAAAATAGATATACCACTAAATTATCCCTATCAACCTAGTTGGACACGCTATATACCGTTAAGGCAGAAGATGAGACTCTCTGTCTCTTCTCAGTAAGAGCTCTAGGCAAGATATTATAATGTTGCTGCACTCTTCCATGAAAGAACCAGGTTTAATGTACATTACCAGCCTTATACATTTGCCACAAAGACTGATTTGTATTTTGCAATACAGCTCTGTTTCCTGTAAGGTCATTTCATTAAACCTATAAACCACAGGCCCTGGCTACACAAAGGCTATTTTTCAAATATTTCCCACCATTGGGTGTGGCTGAACCAATGTTAGCAACAGTAGGAACTCCAGCCTGGAAACTTTCCCCCGCCAAGATTAATGTGCCAGCTTCCTGCGGGGGAGTGGGGAGAGGAGAAAACCTCAAGGCTTCTCCAGGCACGTCGTCGTCCTGCTGTCCCTGCCACCTCCACCTCAGCCTCGGCTTTCCTTCTGCAGCCAGAAGGCAGTCCAGGGGGGCAGGCTGGGGCTGGTTGTGCCTGAGGAGAGGAGGGAATGGGGGGTCTGAGAGGCTGCAGGCCAGGGGGAGGCAGTAGAGGAGGATGGGGGGCCAGAAGAGAGGTGAGGGCCGTCTTCAACTGGATAGGAAGGTGTGGGGGGCTAGAGGCCGGGGCTTGGAAGAGAGGCCAGGGAGAGAGGTGGAAGGGGCAGCAAGACTGGTGTGAGAAAGGGGGTGGGAGCTGAGAGAGGCTGGGGAGAGGCAGGGGGAGGGGGAGACATGGGGGAGGCCAGGGTTGGCTGCAGCTGGGGTAGAAATTGGGAGGGCTGAGAGGCTGGGGAGGGGGATGGAGGGGTGAGAGGCCGAGTCTGGTGCGGCCTGCCTTGCTCTACCCTCCCCAGTGGCTGGGTCTGGCACATCCCCGGCTCTCCCCTACCCTGTGGCTGGGTCTAGCGCAGCCTGTGCCCTCTCCTCCTCAGTGGCTGGGGTGGGGAGGCAGGGCAAAAGGCTGGGGCTGGTGCAGCCCCTGGCTACCAGGAGGTGAGACAAGCTTGCTTATCCCCAAAGACAGGGGGGTTGGCGAGCATAGTGAGTATGGGGCATTGCTTCCTAATATATTAGAATTACAAAAAAGTACAGAGAATGGCAATAAAAATGAGTAGAGGTATGGAACAACTTCTCTGTGAGGAAAGATATAAAAGACTAGAATTGTTCAGCTTGGAAAAGAGACAAGAAACAGGGGGCGGATATGATAGAAGTCTATAAAATCATGAATAGTGTAGAGGAAGTGAATATGGCAGTGTTATTTTACCCCTTCACATAACCCAAGAACCATGGATCACAAATGAAATTAACAGTCTGCAGGTTTAAAACAGACAAAAGCAAGTACTTTTTGACACAACGAACAGTCAAGTTGTGGAACTCATTGCCAGAGGATGTTGTGAAGGCCAAAAGTACAAGTGAGTTAAAAAATGAATTAGATAAGTTCTTAGAGGATAAGTCCATCAATGGCTATTAGCTGAGATGGTCATGATACAACCCATTGCTTGGGGTACCCCTAAATCTCTGACTGACAAAAGCTGGGACTGGACAGTGGGGGGTGAGTCACTCAACAATTGCCCTGTTCTGTTCATTCCCTCTGAAATAGCTAACACTGGCCATTGTCAACAAACAGGATATTGGGCTAGATGGATGCTTGGTCTAACCCAGTATGGTCGTTTTTATGTTCTTATGAAATCAAAAGCAACATTTCCATTGATTTGTTGTGTGGGTAGAATTAAGTCCAATCTGAGTTAAAGGCGAATAGAGTTGTCTATATATATAGTAGAATAATCTGGCCTAACAACCAAATGAACAACAGTGACTCAGTAGATACTTTGTCTCTAGTTTCTATTAAATAAACAGACCTCCATCTATAAGGCAATTATTTGGCACTTCAAATGATTGCATCATTGTGAGTTTTTCAGTTGGTCATAATAGTTCTCCTGTCTTCATTTAAGTAAAAAAAATAAATCCTTTACATTTGTGAAGAAAACACTCATAATGTCATCTCAGTGTAAACTGATGAAGTGGTCATTTTACAGTCAGCCTGTATGAAGTGTAAACAGCCTTTATTAAGTACAGTGGAATGTTGACATTCAAGTTTAAGGATGGCAATGTAATTGTCACCATTAACCGCTTTACCATTAATCCTAGATAAAACAGTCAGTAAATGTACTGGTTCTCTGCTATAGGAAGTGTAGACAGATTCTGGAGTGGGATGAGATTAGAACTTGCTATTAAGGTTTCCTTAGGTGGGAAATATATTATTGAACCCTCTGTTCCTGGAATTCATGGTCTCCACTGAAACTACCTAAAAGAGGAAGAGAAGAGCAACTGCATCCCCTCTCTTGTACAAAAATCCCCTTAAAAGCCCTGCCTCCTACGTAGTCACTGGTATGACATTCTCAAATGCCGCCTACTTATCTGTCAAAATATTATCTTAGGATAACTTCAGCAATGTAGTTGTATGTACAACACCAAAATCTGTGGTACACTGGCATATTTTGGGGGGAGAGGGCAATATAAAACAAATTTGAATTAATATGAAAATAAATAATATTTGCCTGATCAAAAGTCCACTGAAATCATCTGAAAGATTTGCACTGATTTTAAAGGGCTTTAGATCATCCTTATAAGGGATATTCTGTGAGATTTGGGGAAATTTGGGATTGGGATTGAAAACTGAATCATAATTTTAGCACCTGTGCACATAATTTAGGCCTTATGTGAAACAGCACACTGGACCTCATATATAACTAAGGAGCCATTCGCAGAGTTTTACAAAATGCAACCATTCTGTAAAGAACTTCTAAGGAATAAAAACTCATTTTTTTATGAATATGGGAGAGGGATTCTTTAGCCACCAGAGCCCAGCATATCTGTGAAGTAAGCATTGCTCTTGAAGTCTGTGCAGCCCTCCTTTTTGAACACTAAAAAGATGAGCTCTTGCAAACATTGGCAATGAATTACAGACATACACTTAATTGTCTGGGATGAATGGTTGTCCTGAGCCAACTTCTGGGCATTTGAATAAGAAGAGAATAACAGCAGAAATAATGTTCTTATTGCAGTTCCCAAGATTGGTGGACCTCTGAAGAACAATGAGACAGGAAAGGAGCTTCAATTTCAGTTGGTTGTAATACATGGACCTGTGTGAAAGCTTCTTTACAAGAGAGTCAGGCTATAAAGAAATCCTGAGGACGGAAGCATGTTCCTACATTTCCTTTAGTTACAAGGGAGAGATCATGCTGACATCTATAGAAATGCCTCTGGTGAAAGAAACTGTGATGAGAAAATAAAGGTAAAGGAAAGTTTAATGTGAAAGAAAAAAAGCTTTTAATGAATGAATTTTAACTATATAAAATCTTTCAACATAACTTTAACACATAGTTTTGAGTATTTAACAGTGGTGGTAAAGACAAACAGAGTTAATCTTTAAATAACTTTCTGTTTCCTGTGGTGGGAAGAACACCTCAGCAGTCCAGCACCCTGGCATTTAATTTCAAAAAGGAGAATTACACAAAAATGAGGAGGTTTGTTAAACAGAAAATAAAAGGCACAGTGACTAGAGCCAAATCCCTGAAAGCTGCATGGAAACTTTTTAAAGACACCATAATAGAGGCCCAACTTAGATGTATACCCCAAATTAAAAAACATAGCAAGAGACCTAAAAAAGAGTCACCGTGGCTTAACCACCATGTAAAAGAAGCAGTGAGGGACAAAAAGGTATCTTTTAAGAAGTGGAAGTCCAATCCTAGCGAGATAAATAGAAAGGAACATAAACACTGTCAAATCAAGTGTAAAAATGTTGCAGAAGAGAAGGGTGAGGTACTCTTGGGGTTAGGGCTGGCACTGGGGGCTCTGGAGGCTGGGGCTTTTAGCAGACCGGTAACATTTTATTTGTAAATTTGCATATTCCCTGTGTGCATAATGAATATGCAAATATGCAAATCAAATGTTACTGGTCCACCAAAAGTTTGTGAATGAGTGCCAGTCTGCAGTATAAAAAAGGTTGGGAACCGCTGCTCTGAATAAAACTAGTTTGAGTGTAATTTTAACAGAAAAATGGCACCTGTGTCTTGCTTGTGTAACTTACCTGAAATCTTTCCCTTGCATCGTGTGCTTTGTAATGAGATGCTCTTCCTGTAGGTAATGATGGGGATAGGAAGCAGGGACAGGGACAAGGAACTGGTAAATTTACCTGTCTGCAAATGCATATGTTACAACTGGAGCTGTTGGATATGTTTTATGATTGAAATTTTGATGAAATTTGTAAACAGTTTAAATTTAATTAATCCAAAAATGCATCGGATAGGGAAAATTGCACCCTATTTGTTGGCCGTTTTTAGAGCTGGTTGCAAAACGCTGATATGCACATTCTGACCAGCTTTTGCTCTAGGTCTTGGTAGGGGGAAGAAGGGATGAAACATTAGCAAAAATGTTCCTGGAAGTTACAGCCTGATTTTTAAACCAGCATTAGTTACAACTGAGTTAATTTGAGATGGGTCCTGGTAATACAAGGTATAGTCCAAATCCTGCAACCTTTATCATGATGATGATGCAGCAGCAGCTCCTAGAGTAGGAATGGGCAATAAAATAGCTGCGGTTCACCAGGGTTAGGCCCTGGTGGGCCGCTGCCGCTATATTTACCTGCGCCTCCGCTCGCACTGGGCAATCGCAACTTCCATAGATTGGGAATGGTGATCCTCAGCCAGTGGGAGCTGTGACCTCTGTCCCTGCGGAGGCGCAGGTAAATACGGTGGTGTGGGGGTCCACCAACGGCTAACCCTGGAGGATCAGATCTGGCCCGCAGGCTAGTATTTCCCAACCCCTGATCTCCAGGGCGGGTGAAATTCAGTGGCCTGTGTTATACAAGAGGAAAGACTGGGAAAGCTAATGGTCCCTCCTAGCCTTACCATATATCCGTTTGTGACCCCAAAAGGGAACAGGCCTTTGGTGTGCTCTGACGTGGATGCTCCTGAAATAAAACGTTAATCTGTGTCACAGAAAGCTTAATGGAAGCAAGTAATGTGATAAAATGAGTGCACAGGAGAACATAATGTCAGTGGGAGTTTGGCTGTGCATATACTGGCTGACTGGACAGTGGGAACATCTCCTTCAACATCAGGCATGCAACTATACTTCTTTTAAGGAATATAATGGCAGGCCCAGGGCAAAGAGAATCCAATTTTCCAGCAACATCTGAGTTCACTTACAGTCTCCGGCAGTATCCCCAGGTGGAAAATCAGAGGAGGATCTTGTTCTCTGCCCTTTCTGTATGTGTGAGAGTCGGTTAACACATTCTAGTGCTATTCGGCTTCCTTACCGTCTGCACCTGCAGGGCACTGGAAAAGCTTTTTTTGACATAAGTTGGCAAAGAAAAAAGGCCACTGACATGTTTCATACTGGTGACAGTAGGAAAGGAGCAGACAGTAGGAATATCCAAATCAAGAGATTACCGTGAGGCAGTTCTCCTCCCTAATATTGTGAAATCTACCAGTTACTGTGCAGCATATACCAATAGCTTAGTCATTGGCTCCCTATTACTGAAGACTGTGTAAAGTATTCAGCCAATATTTGGACTTCTGTGGAGTTTGGAATAAAATTGGGAATGGATGACAGGAGGGCTCACTGGATGTTCATTCCTTCTGGGGTACCTGGCATTGGCCACTGTCGGTAGACAGGATACTGGGCTAGTTGGACCTTTGGTCTTACCCAGTATGGCCGTTCTTATGTTCTTATGTTATGTTCTTATGTTCTATAGCTTCTTATCTCCAAGGCTCTCAATGGACTTTAGCAAATATTATTTGAGACTCACATTTATAAAAGTAGGTAACTGAGGCTGTGTTCTGTTAATAATATTGCAGGGAGGGGATACTGAATAAATCTGGGTTCTTGACAGAATTTCAGTATAATTAGTAGACATGAGGGAACCTGATTCATTTTTGATAACAAGCAATTTCCAATCATTACAACTTGTATAATAGAGGTTGTATTGTATGACCATGTTGCAGAAGTCTCAGAGGGGTAGCAGTGTTAGTCTGTAACCTTAAAAACAATTAGTAGTCCTGTGGCACCTTAGGCTGTGTCAACACATTCTCATTATTTCGGAATAACTGATGTTATTCCAGAATAACAAATAGCGTGTCTACACAGCAAGCCATTATTTTGAAATAATGGTGAGCCAGAGGATGTCTTACCCTGACTCCTGTAACCCTCATTTCACAAGGAATAAGAGAAGTCGAAGGAAGAGTGTTTTTCCTTTAACTTCCTGCAGTGTACACAGAGCCAAAAGCCGAATTAAGCTATTGCAACTTAAGCTATGCAATTGACGAAGCTCAAGCGGCATAGCTTATTTTGACTTTTGCTCTTAGAGACTAACAAAAAATTATCATCTATTTATCTATCTATATATGTGTGTAGTTGAAAGAAGAGCGCTCTTCCTTCAACTTCCCTTACTCCTTGTGAAATGAGGGTTACCATGAGTCAGAATAAGAAGTTCTCCAGCGCCACGTTATTTTGAAATAAAGGCTTGTAGTGTAGACATGCACTATGTTATTTTAGAATAATGTCAGTTACTCTGAAATAATGCTGCTGTGTAGACATATCCTAAGGTGCCACGGGACTACATGTTGTCTTTCATATTCCAAAAGGCAGAGACAGAGTAGAGTGAAGTGCCCCAGCTCACTTAAATCACTTTCTAAGAAGTCAGAGGTCCTCTTCACACCCATGCCATGGTCTCAGCACTAGATGGTGTTGCCATCACCATGGTGGTTTCCTACAATTGTCAAAAGAGGGCTATTTTTATTTTACCAACACATTTTCTAATTTTTTAAAATAATATTTTCCAGTACGTCTGCATAGAAGGAACTCCCCACAGCCAAGCAGGGAAACTGAGCACAAGGGAAACAGCCACTGAAGCGCTTGCCCCTACGATCCGAGCACTCAGAGCAGAACACAGGGACGCGAACTACACCGGCCAGCTGTGCAGAGTCTACGTCACGGAAAACCCGCTCGGACGCCCCCTAGCCTCATGCGCACAGAAGACGGGAGGGGGGAGAGCGGAGCAGAAGGCTGCAGGCAACCTTAGCTCCGCCCCTTTCTGACTCCCCGTGAACTGTCACCTCCTCTTGTTTTGAAGGTGCGCGTGGTTGTCTCTGATTGGCCACTGCCCAGGGCCCCGCCTCCTGTAGTCCCAGACCCCGAAGCGGGTTAGAAAGAGCGGCCGATTGGACTCGACTTCCCAGAGTGCTTTGCGCGGCAGAAGGCGGTTGTGCGAGGCGGCAGGCGGGGGGGACCGGGCCGGCGCGTACGGGAGCGCGGCTGAGGCGGGCGGAGGCGAGCGTGGTGGTTGTCTCTGATTGGCCACTGCCCAGGGCCCCGCCTCCTGTAGTCCCAGACCCCGAAGCGGGTTAGAAAGAGCGGCCGATTGGACTCGACTTCCCAGAGTGCTTTGCGCGGCAGAAGGCGGTTGTGCGAGGCGGCAGGCGGGGGGGACCGGGCCGGCGCGTACGGGAGCGCGGCTGAGGCGGGCGGAGGCGAGCGTGGC